ATGATGGCACGTAGCTAAAGTCTCGCTGCTCAGGAGGCTGAGGTGAGAGCATCACTTGAGCCCAGCAGTTCCAGGATGCAGTAAGCTATGATCATTGCACTACACTACAGCCCAGGTAACAGAGTGAGACTGCCTCAAAAAATCAAAAAAAAAAAAAAAAAAAAAATCACAGACACCCATTTTTGCTTCCTTCCTTCCATGTAGATTCATAAAGATGGTTCTGAGTTTCTTGAGGAGACTATCAAATAAGGAAGTAGTTGTTCCTTCTTAATTAAAGTTCTTTGAAAACTTATGATCTAAGTTTCACAGAATCTTAATTTTTTTTTACTATCTGCTCCAAGATTATTTGGATAATTCTGCTGAGCCTAAGAGATTTTTTTGTTTTGGTTCTGTTTAAATTTTTACTTGAATAAGCAATCCATGAATATGATTTTTGTAATTTTTGTTATTACGCCTTTCTCTCACCTACTCCCAGTTCCTCTCTCTCCCTAGAGTTAACCACTATTACTAGTTCCTTGTATATCCTTCCTGTTACTATTTATTTCCAAAACTAAAATAACCTTAGGAGTTTTTTTTTCCCTGATTGAATACAGAATATACAATCACTGAAAAAAAAAAAAAAAATCAAACCAACAGCAAACTACAAAGTATCAACTGAAATCCTCTCACCCACATTTCGGCAAGACATCTCTCTGCACAACTATACACACGTTTGTATCTACAAAACGTCACATAAGCCATTCTTCAATTTCATTTGTGTGTGCATGTGTGCATATACACTAAACGACAGGGTGTAGACATCATGTGGGGTTTCAAACAACATATTTAAAAAATTGTTTCTAATGAATGTATAATATTCCAATGTGGCTGGTTACCATAATTAATTTTTACCAATTTCTCTATTGATGAACATTTAGGTTGTTCCTAATTTCTGTACTATCACTTTCACAAACTTCTGATTATTTTCTCAGAATAAATTCCTACAACTAGACCTATGTATCAAAAGATGTGCTTTAGGGGGCAGAGCGAGACAGCCCCATACAAACCTACAACATTTGTCTTGCCCACAGGAACATCAAATTTTAACTACACACAAGAAGCACCATTACAAGAATCAAAAATCAGACCAGAAATCTGGTTTTAATTTCATATCGCTGAGAGAGACATTGAAGAGGGAAGGAAAGACAGTCTTAAATTGCCCACCCCTCCTTCCATCTTCCCGGCAGCAACCACATGGCACAGAGAATCTGTGTATCTGGGAGAGGGAGAGTACAGTGATTTTGAGGCTTTACATTGAACTCACTGCTGTCCTTACACAGCAGAAGGCAGAACCAGGCTTTAGTAGCTGACGTCTGCCCATGGAGAAAGCATTTGGACCAACCCCAGCTAGAGGGGACTCACCCATTACAGTAATAAGAGCTTGAGTTCAGACAAGCCTCGCTACCATAAACTGGAGTGCTCTGGGGACCTAAGTGAACTTGAGGGACAGTCTAGGCCACAAGAATTGCAAGTCCTAGGCAAGCCCAGTGCTGAGATGGACTCAGAGCCAGTGGACCAGAGGGGAGGAGCATATGACCTACTGAGACATCAACCAGGCTAAGCGTGTGCTTGCACCACCTCCCCCAACCCCTGGCAGCAGCCACAAGATGCAGAGAAAGCTGTGCACTTGGAAGACAGACAGCACAGCAACTGGAGGACTTCACGCTGAACTCAGTGCTGCCTTGTCACAATGGTGACCTATCAGGATTCATCACCTGCTGAGTAAAGAACCCTTGGGCCCTGAATAACCATCAGTGATACCCAGGTAATACGCCATGGGCGTTGGGCTGTCAGACATACTAGCTTCAGGTGGGACTGAATACATTCCCAGTTTTGGTGGCTACAATGAAAGACTCCTCCTGTTTGAGAAAGGCAAGGGGAAAAGTAAAGCTGACTCTGTCTTGTGCCTTAGGGACCAACTCAGACACAGTGGGGTAGAGCACCAAGCAAGCTCTGAGGAGTCCCCAGCTTTAGGCCTCGGCTCTTGGTCAGCATTTCTGGACCTGGCCTGGGCCAGAGGGGAGGCCACTGCCTTGAAGGGTGAGTCCCAGGCCTGGCAGCATTCACCACAAGCCGACTAAAGAGCCCTTGGGTTCCACTGGCAGTGGCCTGGCAGAAACCCACAGGGGCCAGTGGTGGTAGTAGCCACAGGGAGAGGCTCCTCTGCCCATAAAAAGAGGAAGAAAGAGTGGGAAGGACTTTGACTTGTGGTTTGAGTGCTGGCTTAGCTGCAGTAAAACAGTAATATCAGGTAAATTTCTAAGGTTTAAGACTTCAATCTCTGGCTCCCAGACAGCATCTCTGGACCCAACCAGGGCCTGGGGGAACATGACTCCATTGTATATTATTTGTTTCTTTTCTCTTGCTGCTTTTAGGATCCTTTAAGCATGAAGGAGAAATAAAGACTTTCCCAGACAACAAAAGCTGAAGGATTTCATCCACACCAGACCATCCTACAAGAAACGCTAAAGTGAGTTCTTTATCCTTGACCTTTAGGAGTTTATTAAATGCCTTGAGGTAGTGTTCTTTGGTTAAATCTGCTAGTGTTTTATAACTTTCTTGTACTTGAATATTGGTATCTTTCTCTAGGTTTAGGAAGTTCTGTGACAATATCCCTTGCTATTAATAGTTCTTTTGCTTATGCAATCAGTTTAAAATAATGGGTTATAAGATATTATTTGCAAGCCTTATGGTAACCTCAAATCAAAAAACATACAACAGATACATGAAAAATAGAAAGTAAGAAATTAAAGCATACCACCAGAGAAAATCAGCTTCACTAAAAGACAGGAAGGAAGGAAAGAAGGAGCCGACCAAAAAACAACCAGAAAACAACAAAATGGCAGGAGTAAGTCCTTATTTATCAATTATAACACTGAATGTAAATAGATTAAATTCTCCAATCAAAAGACTACAAAGTAGCTGAATGGATGAAAAAGCAAGACCCAATTTTCTGTTGTCTCCAGGAAACACTCTCCACCCATAAAAACACATATAGACTGAAAATAAAGGGATGGAAAAAGATACTCCATGCCAATGGGAAACCCGAAAAACAGGAGTAGCTATATTTATATCAGACAAAATGAATTCTAAGACAAAACCCATAAGAAGAGACAAAGAAGGTCATTATATAATGATAAAGAGGTCAATTCAGCAAGAGGATATAAAAATTGTAAATATATATGGACCCAATGCTAGAGCACTCAGATAAATAAAGCAAATATTACAGCTAAAGAGAGAGACAGAGACTCCAATACAGTAATAGATGGAGACTTCAAAACCCCACTTTCGGCATTGCTCAGATCTTCCAGATAGAAAATCAGAAAAGACACATCAAACTTAATCTTCACTATAGAACAAATAGACCTAACAGATATTTACAGAACATCTCATTCAGCAGCTGCTTTAATCTCCTTAGCAGGTGGATCATTCTCAAGCACAGATCATATGTTAGGTTACAAAACAACTCCTAAAATATTTTTTAAAACCTGAAATAATATAAAGCATCTTCTCTGACCATAATGGAATAAAACTAGAAATCCATAACAAGAGTAATTTTGGAAACAATATAAACACATGGAAATTAAACAATATGCTCCTGAATGACTGACACCAGTGGGTCAATGAGGAAATTAAGAAGAAAATTGAAAAATTTTCTTGAAAAAAATAATGAAAACACAAATACCAAAACCTATGGGATACAGTGAAAGCAGTATTAAGAGGTAAATTTATAGCTGTAAGTGTCCACATCAAAAAAGAAGAAAAACTTAAAATAAATAACCTAACAATGCATCTTAAAGAACTAAAAAAACAAGTGCAAATCAACTCGAAATTAGTACAAGAAAAGAAATAATGAAGATCAGAACAGAAATAAATGAAATTGAAATGACAAAAACAATAGCAAAAGATAAACAAAACTTAAAGTTGGTTTTTTGAAAGGATAAATAAAATTGACAGACCTTAAGTCAGACTAAGAAAAAAGAGAGAGGACCCAAATAAAATCAGAGATGAAAAAGGAGACATTACAACTGATGCTACAGAAATTTAAAGGATTATACTGAGCAACTGTATGACAACAAAACCTGAACAGACCAATAACAAGTAACAAGATCAAAGCTGTAAAAAAAAGCCTCCCAGTAAAGAAAAGCCTGGGACCCGAGTGCTTCACTGCTGAATTCTACCAAACATTTGAAGAAGAACTAATAGCAATCCTACTCAAACTATTCTGAAAAACAGAAGAGGAGGGATTACTTCCAAACTCATTCTATGAGGCCAGTATTATACCAAAACCAGACAAAGACATATTAAAAAATGAAGATAACAGACCAATATCTCTGATGAATATTGATGCAAAAATCCTCAACAAAATACTAGCAAACTGAATTCAACAATACATTTAAAAAATTATTCATCATGACCAATTGGGATTTATCGCAGGGATGCGACAATGTTTCAACATGTGCAAATCAATCAGTGTGATACATCTATCAACGAAATGAAGTATAAAAACCATATATATCATTTCAATTGATGTTGAAAAAGCATTTGATAAAATTTAAATCCCTTTGTGATAAAAACCCTAAAGAAACTGGGTATAGAAGGAACACACCTCAGCATAATAAAAGCCATATGATGACAGACCCACAGCTAGTATCATACCAAATGAGGAAAAACTGAAAGCCTTTCCTCTAAGGTCTGGACCACAACAAGGATGCCCACTTTCATCACTGTTATTCAACACAATTCTGGAAGTCCTAACTAGAGTAATCAGACAAGAGAAAGAAAGATTTGGCATCCGAACTGGAAAGGAAAATGTCAAATATTCTTGTTTGCAGATGATATGATCTTATATTTAGAAAAACCTAAAGAACCCCCCCACACAAAAAAACCATTAGAGCTGACAAACAAATTCAGTAAAGTTTCAGGACACAAAATCAACATACAAAAATCTGTAGCATTTGTATGCCAACAATCTGAAAAAGAAATAAAAAGTAATCCCATTTACAACAGTCACAAATAAAATTAAATACCTAGGAATTAACTTAAGCTAAGAAATGAAATATCTCTACAATAAAACACTAATGAAAAATTGAAGAGGGCACCAAAAAATGGTAAAATATTCCATGTGCATGGATTGGAAGAATCAATATTGTTAAAATGGTCATACTACTCAAAGCAATCTACAGACTCAATGTAATCCTTACCAAAATAACAACGGCATTCTTCATAGAAATGGAAAAAAGATCCTAAAATTTATATGGAATCACAAAAGACTGAGAATAGTCAAAACTATCCTGAGTAAAAAGAACAAAATTGGAGGAATCACATTACCTGACTTCAACCAAAACAGTATGGTACTGGCATAAAGAGACACAGACCAATGGAACAGAAAAGAAAACTCAGAAATAAATCCAGATAACTGTAGTGAACTCACTTATAACAAAGGTGCTAGGAACAGAGATTGGAGAAAGGACAGTCTCTTCAATAAAATCTGCTGGGAAAACTGGGTATTCACATGCAGAAGAATGAAACTTGACCCCTGTCTCTCACCATATATAAAAATGAAATAAAAATGGATTAAATACTTAAATCTAAGACCTCGTACTATGCAACTGTTACAAGAAAACATTGGGAAAACTCTCCTTGACACTGGTCTGGGCAAAAACTTCGTAAGTAATACCCACAAGCAGAAGCAACCAAATCAAAAATAAATAGGATCACATCACGTTAAAAAGCTTCTGCACAGTAAAGGAAACAACACATTGAAGAGCAACCCATAGAATGGGAGAAAATATCTGCAAACAATCCATCTGACAAGGGATTATTAAGTAGAATATATAAGGAGCTCAAACAACTCTGTAGGATAAAATCTAATAATCCAATTTAAAAATGGGCAAAAGATTTGAATAGACATTTCTCAAAAGACACACAAATGGCAAATAGATATAAGAAAAGGTGCTCAACATCACTGATATCAAAGAAATGCAAATCAAAACTACAATGAGATATCATCTCACCCCAATTAAAATGGCTTTCATCCCAAAGACAAGCAATAACAAATGCTGGCAAAGATGTGGAGAAAAGGGAACCCTCATACACTGCTGGTGGTAATATAAATTACTACAGCCACTATGGAGAACAGTTTGGAGGTTCCTCAAAAAACTGAAAATAGAGCTACCATATGACCCAACAACCCACTGGGTATATACCCAACAGAAAGGAAATCAGTATATTAAAGAGATTATCTGCACTCCTATGTTTGCTGAAGCACTGTTCTCAATAGCCAAGATTTGGAATCAACCTAAATGTCCATCAACAGATGAACAGGTAAAGAAAATGTGGCACATACATACAATGGAGTACCATAGAGCTATAAAAAAGACTGAGATCCTGTCATTTGCAACAACATGGATAGAACTGGAAGTCATTATGTTAAGTGAAATACAACAGGCACAGAAAGACAAACATCACATGTTCTCAATTATTTGTGGATGCTAAAAATCAACAACTGAACTCATGGAGATAGTAGAAGGACGCTTAGCAGAGGCTGGGAAGGATTGTGGGAGGTGGGGGAAGTGGAGATGTTTAAGGGTGCAAAAAATATAGTTAGAAAGAATTAATAATACCTAGTATTTGATAGTACAACAGGGTGACTACAGTCAATAATAATTTAATTGTACATTTAAAAATAACTAAAAGAGTACAATTGGATTGCTTGTAACACAAAGAATAAATACTTGAGGGAATGGATATCCTATTTTCCACGATGATTATTACTTATTGCATGCCTGTATCAAAGTATCTCATGTACCTTATAAATATACACACCTAGTATGTACCCACAAAATATTTTTACAAGATATACCTTATTTTCAGTGATATATATATACACACACACATCATCCACTGTCCCCTAGAATGATGATACTCCCTTATATTTCTACCAACTGTGTGTAAATTTGCAGACTCCAAACTCTTGAGAATACCTACATTTGATGAAAAGAGAGGAAACCTTACCGACTTCAAATCATGACTTCAGGGCTAACGAATGAAAACTGTCTAAAAACATTTATTATTTATCCAATCAATATTTATAGAATTTACCACCAACACAATATATGGAAAATATATAAAGAAGAAAATAATAATAGCAGCTGCTACTCGTGTGCCAGGAACCATCACAAGCTCTTTTCCCATTTAACCCTCACAACAATTCTTTTTTTTTTTTCTTTTTTCTTATTATTATACTTTAAGTTCTAGGGTACATGTGCATAACGTGCAGGTTTGTTACATATGTACACTTGTGCCATGTTGCTGTGCTGCACCTATCAATTCGTCAGCACCCATCAACTCGTCATTTACATCAGGTATAACTCCCAATGCAATCCCTCCCCCTTCCCCCCTCCCCATGATAGGCCCCAGTGTGTGATGTTCCCCTTCCCGAGTCCAAGTGATCTCATTGTTCAGTTCCCACCTATGAGTGAGAACATGCGGTGTTTGGTTTTCTGTTCTTGTGATAGTTTGCTAAGAATGATGGTTTCCAGCTGCATCCATGTCCCTACAAAGGACACAAACTCATCCTTTTTTATGGCTGCATAGTATTCCATGGTGTATATGTGCCACATTTTCTTAATCCAGAATGGGAGAAAATTTTTGCAATCTACTTATCTGACAAAGGGCTAATATCCAGAACCTATAAAGAACTCAAACAAATTTACAAGAAAAAAACAAACAACCCCATCAAAAAGTGGGCAAAGGATATGAACAGACATTTCTCAAAAGAAGACATTCATACAGCCAACAGACACATGAAAAAATGCTCATCATCACTGGCCATCAGGGAAATGCAAATCAAAACCACAATGAGATACCATCTCACACCAGTTAGAATGGCGATCATTAAAAAGTCAGGAAACAACAGGTGCTGGAGAGGATGTGGAGAAATAGGAACACTTTTACACTGTTGGTGGGATTGTAAACTAGTTCAACCATTATGGAAAACAGTATGGCGATTCCTCAAGGATCTAGAACTAGATGTACCATATGACCCAACCATCCCATTACTGGGTATATACCCAAAGGATTATAAATCATGCTGCTATAAAGACACATGCACACATATGTTTATTGCGGCACTACTCACAATAGCAAAGACTTGGAATCAACCCAAATGTCCATCAGTAACCCTCACAACAATTCTAAAAGGAAGTTATGTTAATGTTCTCAAGAAGAGCTGGATTGACTATGCATCAAGCACTATGTTAGACACCATCTGTACATTCACTCATTTAATTTGACTGAACTCTCACAAATAAATCCTAAGGTAACTGTTAATGTTATTTTATGAAAGAGAACATTTTTCCAGATCTTGAAAAGGGTTAAGTAAATTATTCAACATCTCATAGCCAGTTGGCATGGAAGTCTACAACCTTCTAGAGATAAGAAATATACATAAATTAATAGGTACCAAGACATAAAATCAACACTGTCAAACATTTACTTACCCCTGATTCTTCAGAGTTGCATGTTTTCACCATGTTTTGAAGAACATCAATCAGTTGACATAGTAGTACTCCATTATCAAGTTCTTCCAATAATTTTTCTGCCTTAACTTTAATACCTAAAAACATATCTCAAAGTTAAGATTCTTCTAGAAACATAAATTCAAACAATATGGTTAAAATTAATTAAATAGAATCAGATTACAGCAAAACACTAGAAAAATATCAGATCAGACTCTTAAATACTCTTAGAAGGTACAGTTAAAATAGCAAATAATGGCAAGTTAACTTAATGATACTGAAACAAAAATATCTGTAATGTAGAAGTACAGAAAAAATATAGAAAACCGACATCGATTTTATTTCATTTGAAATAAATTCACTGCGTATTAATATTCCTTGCACAAGAATAATAGTCTCTATAAATAAGATGGACTTGGTTCCAATTTTAAAATTAAAGACAATACCATAACAAATACCCAGGGAATACTAACGTTTTACTTCTAGATTATCTTCTTTAAAAACATTATTATTACATAATAAACTCTAAACATTATCCATCAAACTGATAATAGACAAATGCAGATAATATTTGGTATTTTATTATCTTGGAAGGGCTATATCATTTAAGATACTCTTTTTCATGAAAACTTAAGAATTCCGCATAAAATTATTTAAAGTAAAATTTTTCTGGGGAGAAAGTTTAAAGCATTCATCATATTCTCTAATAGCGTAAAAAATATGATGCCAGACATTCTCCAACCTGACACTTCTTCCTAGGTTTCATATGCCTCTATCCTTCAATGCCTCAGAAATTGTAATCATTTTATCTACAGTATATATTTCACTCAAAGTTCATGGCTTACACAAGACTAAGGCGGGTGGGGGGTGAGGGGGGTGAATCAGTAAAAAAAAAAAAAAAAAAAAAGATCAATACACTTTTTAAAGATGATTTTAATATTAACAATGAAAATGTTCATTATTCAAAGTTTATTGACCTCTTCGGTTAAATCTCAAATTTCCTACTATTCAAGACCCAAGGTTCAGGGTGAATCAGAGTATTTCCCCAGCTGAAATGTAACTTTGGTGAAAGCAAGGGCACTGAATACTTCATTCACTAGAGTATCCCCAGCATCTGTAATAATCACTCCTTGACAAAGAGTAAGGCTCTCAATAAATGCATACTGAATAAGATAATACGATTTGGGGTATTGTTTCAAGCATCACCTAATAAACCAGATAACCAGATTGATAGATCTTCTTGCATGGGCAACAGAGTGGCTTCATGCCTCACAGCTATCCACTCATCATACTGACAAACATTAGCCAATCCTGGTCCATGTCTGGGGGTCAGAGGACTCCGAGGACTTAGAGGCAGATCTTCTCCAAACCATACCTAAAGAAAAAAAAAAAAAATCAATTAACTGAATGAAGAAAACCTTTGCTAAAAGTCATCATAATCCACATCAATATTTAAATGATGAAGCATAAATCATACATAATAGACACATATAAAAAGCTGCTGTAGCTCACAGCAAATATATAAATTAGAAGCAACGTGTTAGTCCTGTTCTGCTGCCCAGGCTACAGTGCAGTGATGCGATCATGGTTTACTGCAGCCTCGACTCCCAGGCTCAAGCAATCCTCCCACCTCAGCCTCCCAAGTAGCTGAGAACACAGGCACATGCCACCACACCCAGCTAAGTTTTTAATTTTATGTATTGCAGAGATGTGGTCGTCCTATGTTGCCCAGGATGGTCTTGAACTCCTGGGCTCAAGCGATCCTTCCGCTTCAGACTCCCCAAAGTGCTGGGATTACAGGCACGAGCCACTGCGCCCAGCCAAGACATTTTCAATATTCAATATTGTGGTCAATGTAAGAAAACCCCAAATTAATGAATGGATTCTACTATTGAAGCAAGAGGGTACAATTCAACAAATAATATTTTGCCTTCACTTGTTAGCTTGAGTAAGTTTAACAAGTTACTTGACCAGAGTCTTAATATCTTAGCTGTAAGATGGGTTACTGATTCCTGCCTTATAAAATACACCTCTGTAGCATCTGGCATTGGGCCTAGCAGATAGCAGAGACTCAATACACATTTGTTGAATAGATGAATGAATGAAGCATAAATGGCATTTTGTAAGCTTCAAATCATAATAACAGTGTTATCTTTTTAAAAAATGTCTAAGTAGTTTAGTTTAAAACAAGTGGGTAGCAAACTATAGTCCATGGGGCAAATCTTGTCTCACCTGATTTTGTAAGCCCAGAAGCTAAGAATAGTTTTTACATTTTAAAATGGCTGTTATATAAGTAACTGCATAATATCTCAATTTTGCCTACTGGCCCACAGAGCATGAAATACTACCTAGCCAATTCACAGTTTAGAATAAAAACTGACACTCTATAAATTTTGTAATTTTATAGATGTTATAATAAACACTTGCAAAATTTTGAAATACAATTAGAGATTCTTTAATGTAAGATTATAGAAAAGGCTGTATCAATTCTTCAGATTGTAAAAGAAGTAATCAAGTCATTATGAAGCCACTTTTTAAAACAGATATAAATATCTCTTGTCCTTCTCCTTACTGAACAACTTAGAAAGGAATATTATTAGAGCCTAAGTGAAATGCATAGGAGATTCCAAGAGTGGGGTGGCTTGGAATGGAGAGTCAGAGCTTGAGTGAGGTGAGTGGGCATCCAGGTATGGGAACAGTCCTGTGCAAGATGTCAGACCCTGAGTAGGATAAAGAGGGCATCTAACAGGTGCAAAGAGGGAATGTCCCAATACAGAGTGTCAGAGTCCAAGTGAGCTAAGCATCTACCCAGGGTGTGGGTGGCAGCAATAATGAGAGAACAGTAACACACATGAGGATTTATCAAATGGGAGCCAATCTTCTCACTGAAGACAGATGCAAATATAGAATGAGAGAAGCAAGAATGAATCCTTTGGTGTTGAATTCAAATATCTCTTATCTGAAAGCAAAGAAACTCTCAAAGAACGCCAAAAGGACACTTAAGCCAGCATGAAGGGACTTCTACTGGCTGAACTGAGGGCAATTTGAGCATTGAGATAAATAACAGAAATGGATTATACCACACTGAATAAAATAGGAAACTATGAGTTAACACAGATATAAATGAATACACTGAAATTTTGACAAGAATGGGATTTTTACACAGTCTCGAAGTACCTGCACACAAAATATGACAAAGGGAAAAAGAGTAATTTTACAGTTCAGAAACCTGACAGACAGCATCAGAACCAAATGATGGAGGTGAACTTCATCAATAACAGGACAAATCAAAATCATATGCCACCTGACAGGATGCAATGAGAAAAATTCCTGCCCAAGATGCATAACCTGAGTTTAGTCATGAAAAAACATCAAACAAATCCAAATTGAGGGACATTCTACAAAATTAGTGGTCTGGAATATTCAAAATTATCAAGGTAATTAAAGACAAGCAAAGACTGAGATACTGTTCCAGCCTAATGAAGACTAAAGAGACATGAAAACTAAATGCAACACATAATTCTGAAATGGTTATTATTGAGACAACTGGCAACACTTGAAAGTGGCCTGCGTATTAAATGGTAGTACTGCAGCAGCATTAATATCCTGATTCTGATTATTTCATTGTGGTTGTGTAGGAAGATGTCCTTGTTTTTGAGAAATACACACTAAAATATTCAGAGGTAATAGAGCATTAGAGTCGTCACTTCCTCTCAAATGGTTCAGGCAAACAAATTTCTCTGTACTACACTTAACCACTCTGTAGTCTGTGATGGCTTTAATTTTTTTTTTTAAAACCAAACTTTAAAAAAAGAACTGTAAGTAAAAGGAATACCAAGTGAATCTAGTCCTTTCTTGATTTTTAAATGTAGACCATTTTCCCCTTAAAATGTATTAAGCGTATTGAGGTTCATTTGAGACAAGTCTTACTATATCAGATCAAAAGTCATAGCAATTCCATAGGTAATGCACACAAATTGGTGGCGGGGAGCGGGGGAAACTACTTCCAATCTCCTATGATGAGAAATAAAGAAGATTTTTTTTTTAAACCCCAAGGCAAACAAAGAAAGTGAATAAACTCAAGAGGCATGCAGGGGTAGGGAAATCTAATAAAAAATAAAAAATAAAATAAAATAAAAGTAAATTTAAAAACCCTGTCAAAGACAAAAAAGAAATGTAAGTTATTTAAGGGATATTTACTTCAGGAATTAGGGTAGGGATTGGGAAATGAATTCCTAAATATATGAGGATCCTATGAATAGGAAAACGATGTTATTTATTTCCCTGAATTCTCTTAAAATTATTTCCAAGGAAGTACAGTAACGCTTTACTAATTCTTCCCTTTATAAGCATATCTTATTTCTATTATAATCTTCAGACTCAGTGTAATGCTTAGCACATAGTATTCAAACATATTTGTTCAATAATTGAGGAATAGATATTAGCAAATGACTCTTTGTACCATCAAAATCAAAATGTATCTTACAATCAATTGTATTTGACAGTCAATGGAATATGTTATTTGTCCATTAACCATCTGGTTGAGCTGAAAAAAAGCAGAGCAGATGTAAATGTTTGTCAAGGAAAGAAGAGCATAAATTAAGAGGGTGGTTTTTTAAATCATGTATGAAAATGGAGACGCTAACATTTTTTAAAAAGTCATTTTTACTTCTTGTCACATTAGAGAGAAGAGTACATGTTGGATTTTCCTATTATTGCAAGCAGACGACTTTAGTCATAACCTGGGCTAGTCAGTAGAAATTACTATTAAAAGTTAGACATTAACAAAAACTGCATGTATGAAGATTGTTCTCAAGCATGCTGAAAGCTGCCATATTGTCATTAAGAGATATTTAATTCATAGGTACTCTACAGATTAACTTAGGTACTTGCACTTGCTTACATTTAGGCAAAATTTTATGCCTATGTACAAATGGGCCTTTTCACAGAGAGTGATTTCATAGCCTTTGTCAGATTTTCAAATGGGACTATGACCCCAGAAAGGTCATATACTATTGTCCATTGGCTTTTATACTATATGCTTTTATACTATATGTTTATATTTATACTGTATGTTTATTTATTAATGTTTATTTATTAATCAGAATGAAGGACACAGATGAATGGCAAGAAATATCTTAAACTATTAAATTAGTAAGACGTCAATTAATAACAACTATTCACTGGATGTCTCCTCTCTGTAAGACAGTTAATAACCAAGTAACTGTCTAACATAATTGGCAGAGAAAGAGGTGGAAATCCTGGGAAGTCCTTACATTCAGCAGCAAAAACCTCCATGAGACATGTGAAGGGAGGATAGTCTTGGGGAAAAAAAAAATCAATAAAGACAGATCTTGGAATCTGGATCAGAGAAGATTTTATGAAACCATTACACAAACTATGAAAGAATCTACCATGTTAACAAAATATAAATGTCCATTAGTGTAGAGATAAGGAAAAACATGGGCAATGTGGCAGCAATAAAAATACTCTATAAGGAATCAAGAAAATAAATAAGAAACTAATGACATTCCTGAGACTTGGATAAAAAGGGGATGAACAGAAGTAATCAGCTCACAAATGATTTTGAGTAATAACAGAGTTCCGAGCAAATGCCAGTGGATGTGAGAGGACCCAAAGGGGAAGAATAAGACCTTTTGAGAGACAGTCATGGATTCCCCAGTCCCAAAAGGAAAAGTATGATGGAACTCTATTAGTAGAGTAGGAGATTATAGCTGCAGAGTATAGGAAGGTGGACAACAGGGTCACATGCAGGGCTGTTCTTCACCATTTGATAAATTCTCTTCTCTAGGCTGTCATCCACTGTTATGTTGACAAGAGAAAGGAAAGGAGAGAACAGAAGAAAGATGAGGAGGAGGAAAGACTGACTGACTTTTATGACACAGGTACTATCTCCAGGTTTATATCTGGAAAACTGTATCATACTAAGGATACAACCAAACTTCTGACGTGCTTACAGGCAATATATATTCTAACAGTCCCTTTGCACATGTTATCTCATTGATTCCTCACATCTACCCTGCAAATTAATCACTGTTATCCTCACCATAGAGGTAAGGAAGCAGAGACTCGGAAGTAAGATAACTTGCCAGAATCTTGGAATCAAGGGGGCAGAACTAGGATCAGAACTGAAATCTAATTGATGCCAAGTTTTACTTCCCAAAGGAAATTTTATTATCAGTTGCTTGCTTCTTTCCAGGCAGACCTTCAATGTGACTTTTATTTTTAAGTTAATATTCAATCATGTTCTATTTATACAAAATAAAGAAAACCTAAAAAGTAAGAATAATATAGCAAACACCAACTCTGGAAATCATTCAAATATAAGGCAATTCTGGTTGTCTCATTACACCACCCAGCTTGCACCCCTCCACAGAAAAAACAAAACAAAACAAAAAAACAAAAAAAACCATTCTTTAAAACTTTAATGGCCAGTCATATACAGGCATTTATAGAGCACATGAACAACTATCTGAAATTTAAAAACATATATTTGTTTTCACTGAAAGCTCTTTTAACTGTAAATACATACTAAATTGTAATGAGGGGAAAACCACAAAATATTCCACCTCTTTTCCCACAGTGGTATAAATAACACAGACCTACCAACCCTAAGGTATTTTTACACTTGTTCTTAGCCAAAAGGCCAAGAAGAGATAACCCTAAGTATTTTTGAATTTTACAAATATTCAGTATAAACAAAAGCTTAGAATTAAGTTTTTGAGAACTAAAAAGTTAAAATATAGTATTTCTGTTATTAAAATGTGATGCTTAAAAAAACTAGCACAGTAAGAACACTTTGTGATAATTTTATGTTTGCTAATTATTATAGTTCAATTATATTAATTTCATAATTTAAATATTTTTCCAAGAAAAAAACTTACTTGAATTGCAGGCTGCATAGTCACCTATGTTGAAATGAAATTTCTTTTCTGAAAAAAGAACAAAACATTAACATACAGTTAACAGTGGCAGTTTTGCTACTCCCCCAAACCCCCAAATTACAAGATTTAGGAATGTGTTTACTCGACTGCAAATGCAAAACTTTCTCTTCTAGTTAGAATAGTCTGACTATAAGCAAATTCGTATCACTCCTTGCTTTTTACTTCATAAAGGACTACTCATTTGAAAAAGGAAAACCTGAAACAGACTTTAATATAATATGTATTTTCTGGCATTAGCATCAAAGTAATTCTTGAACCATCTGGACAGTTTTGAAAAAAAAATCAACAACAAAACTTAGCTCATATAAAAATCTCCCAGAATTTTATTTTCCCCTGTGAACATAATGTAAATATAAATGTTACAACAACTGATATTGAAATTGTCCTTTATCTGATTGTCATCAAAATCCTAACAGGTCATATGGACTTCGCATAAATTCACAAACTTGACTATAAGCTTATTCTGCTAATAAAGATAAACATCAATTTTAACTGTGAACGAAAATGCTCAATGCCTCCCCATAATAATTTTCCAAAGACAAAAAAGAAACAGCAATTTTAGCTCCAAAGTAGTATTCTTGAAATCTACATGGAAAAAAATACTTTAATTCATTGAATTAGGTAAATACAATTCTTTCCTATATTTTCAAAGGGATAAAAGTGAAGAGTTTAAAAACATTCAACAGTATAGACTATAAAAACCTAGGATTTTTTATTGCTCATAGCAGCATAATAAGCTAGTCTATTTTTATTACAAACCACCTTTAAAATATTTTAAGAAAAAATATACAATAATTACAAAGCTAATGCTATTACTTTCCAAGAAAAAGTTATTTTTTCCTCTAAGTTATATCAGACATACCTCATGCACAGTGTCAACTATACATACCACTTTCCTTTCAGGAACATTCTTCTAGTACCAGAGTTGAACCTGAGCTGAACCATACTGAAAAGCCTAACATTATAATACATTTTCTTTGCAGGAAGGCAAAAGACAACAGAATGCCCTTTTTGATGTCATTTTCCCTTCTCTCCACCACAGCAAAAGGCCAAAGTACAAGTGAGCATTCCTAATGATCTTGTTATGCTTCCCACGAGCTAATTCAGTGGGGAATACATTTTCCTTTAGCATAAATAATCCTTTGTCCGCAACAAAGATCCATTTCTCGGAAGTAAGAAGCTTCCAAGACCATTTTTTAAAAATGCAGCAAAGAAGCTGCTCCTATTAAAATGGAGTTCCACATAATCAGACAAGAGCTTTAACAGTTGGAGCTGCCAGCCCAAAACAAAAGAAAGCCTAAATTATAAGGCGTGTGCAAATCAAGAACAGTGACACATTCACAAAGAAGCTATCACAAGAATGTTTAGTCGTTGCACTTTTTATGGAAAATTCAACAAAATTAGTTTTATGAAAGAAATAAAGAATTTATGCACAGTATTTGGTCACTTGAACTTTAGCAAGAGTCTTCACATACATTTTTAAAATCATTCTTCTTGCATAACAGAAAAAAATACTTTTAAGATGACAAAAATATAACCATCTGGATTAACTTTAAAAAAGAAATTCTTTAATAAAATAGTATGCAGACAAGTTATTATGTATCTTCATACATGAACATGTGCTTTTCATTGATGAGATTTTATCAGTCAATCAACAATTAAGTAATGAGTACTCACTATGTAACAGATACTAAAAACCAATCTTTGGTATTTTCTAGTCATTCACTATCATCTTTCCAAGATATTTTTGTGTCTCAGGCATTTATTCCCAAGAGTAGCTTCTTAGCCCCAGTCCCCGATCTGTACCACAATCACAATTCTTGCTTCTCCTTCATTTTATTACCTATTTTCCTCTTTTCTATCATTCCCTAAAAATCTGTTTCATATAAATCAATTACACTGAACCAGTAACACTTCATTGTGCATCTTAATTAGCAACATATTGTCCTTATTTTTTGTTTTTGTCTTTCTGCCTTTTTGAAGAAGTCTATTTCAATTCTTTGCCAACTTGAGGAAGCCTTTTCCCTTAGATTTGGCGAGTGTGAAGGAAGACCTCTCATGTAACCAAGTCTAAACTACACTCTAAACCTGCTGGGAATCTTTCACAAGACACTCTTATGCATAGATCATACAAAGTTAGGAATACTATACTTAACTTTTAAAATCCGAGGAAAATGTTGGAAACACAGAATGTGCTCATCCACCTGAAATTTGATCAGAATTTGAGCCTAACCCACTCATCTTTAAATATTTTTTAAAAGTCATGAGGCACTCAAGATTATTTGTATTAAGGCTCTTCATTCTAATTTGACTTCAGATCATAATGGGATTAAAAACATCAACTACTGAACCGATCTTTCATCCCAAAGATATAGGCTCAATCCTTTCTCACGGTATACGGTATGATGGGGAGAATTCAAAGTGTCATGGCTCCAATCTGTCACAAATCTGAAGTCAACCAGGAAGAGTAGCAAACAAAAAAAAAAGCAAAGAAATAAGGTAAGTTTCTTCAGGAAAAAGAATAACATTAATTGCCATTGTGCCACATATCCATTTAGCACTCAGCCACCAGATTATCGCCAAGATACACAAGCTGCAAGGGTAGGATCAAGTTGATATCGCAGTTACCACCGAGGAAGAGAGAGGAAAATGACCCTGGGGAGGAATGCACAAGGGCCTTTCAACTGTACCAGTAAGATTTTATTTCAAGATAAGTGGTAAGAACAAAGACGTTATTATACTAGTCTGTATGCCTTTCTGTATGTCAAAATATTTCATCCTTTTCTAATGCTTCATTTAGAAAAATAGTTGAAGAATACATCCTTTCTGATTTACTCAGAAAAAAGTTTCTCAGCTTTAAAATTCTGAGTTAAATGTTTCCTAACTGCCTAATACAGAAAATAGAAATACTATATCTATACCAATCATATTTCATGTATTTCTTAATGTGTACTAAAATAACTCACCATAAAGACAGCAATGGGGTAGTAGAAGGTATTGAACACATCTGATTTGAATTCCAGCTCCAGAAAATACTGGCTATATGACTTTGGAGTAGTTAACTTCACTGAGCCTCAGTGTCCTGATCTGTAAAATGAGATATGACCATTTCCTTCTTATGGCTGCTGTAAAAATTAAATGAGATGATACCTATAAAGTACCAGATACATAGTTAGCATTTAACAAATGAATTACAAATATGGTGATGAGACATAATTGTAGTTCATTTGATATAATTTATCTAATTAAAAAGAGATAAGAAAACAAAGCTAGTAATACTCAGATATCATTAAGCATAATTTGGAAAGCTTCTTTTACTAACACAAAAATAAATATAGTTATAAATGTGAGTAAAAGCTTTAAAATAAACACATCATAATTGACAGGATACTCAGATAAAAATTTGTGATTGACAACTCACTTTGCTAGAATAAATATTTAGGAATTTATTTAACATAGACCCTTCATTCTCTTCAACCTGTCTCCTCAATGTCCTCTCTATCAGTTATACTTATTTCTGGGGCTATTTAACTGTTTGCACTATAATCTTTTTTCATGTGGTATACACTCATTTATTTATTCACCTACTTTACTGAACTAGACATCACAAGCAAGAGACACAGTGATGAACGTAAAAGACGTGTTACTGCCCTTGTGGAGCTAATACACCAGTTGAGAAGACTGAAAATAGCAAATACCTAAATGAATACATAATTTTTTTACTTTTATTTTTTATTTATCTACAAGTTATTGGGGTACAGGTGGTATTTGGTCACATGAGTAAGTTCTTTAGTGGTGATTTGTGAGATTTTGGTGCATCCATTACCCGAGCAGTATACACTGCACCATATATATTTGTAGTCTTCTATCCCTCGCCCCCCTCCCACTCTTCCCCCTAAGACCCCAAAGTCCATCGCATCATTCTTATGCATTTGTGTCCTCATAGCATAGCTCCCACGTATCAGTGAGAACACACAATGTCTGATTTTCCATTCGTGAGTTACTTCACTTAGAATAATAGTCTTCAATCTCATCCAGGTCACTGCAAATGCTGTTAATTCATTCCTTTTTATGTCTGCATAGTATTCTGTGATAGATATATTATATATATGAGGGGGAGCACACGCAGTTTCTTTACTCATTGATTGATGGGTATTTGGGTTCTTTCCATGATTTTGCAATTGTGAATCGTGCTGCTATAAACATGCGTGTGCAAGTATCTTTTTCGACTAATGACTTCTTTTCCTCTGGGACTGCTGGATCAAAAGGTGGTTCTACTTTTAGTTCTTTAAGGAATCTCCACAGTTTGCCATAGCATCTGTACTAGTTTACATTCCCAAGAGCAGTGTAGAAGTGTTCCTTGTTCACTGCATCCATGCCAACATCTACTGTTTTTTGATTTTTCGATTATGGCCATTCTTGCAGGAGTGGGGTGGTATTGCATTGTGGTTTTGATGATTTTCATTTCCCTGATCATTAGTGATGCTGAGCATTTTTTATTTTTGTTGGCCATTTTTTATCTTCTTTTGAGAATTGCCTATTCATGTCCTTAGCCCACTTTTTGATGGGATTGTTTTTCTTACTGATTTGAGTTCATTGTAGATTTTGGATATTAGTCCTTTGTCAGATGTACAGATTATGAAAATTTTCTCTCACTCTGTGGGTTGTTTGTTTACTCTGCTGACTGTTCCTTTTGCCATGCAAACTAAAAGCTTCTTAGTTTAATTAGGTTCCAGCTATTTATCTTTGTTTTACTGCATTTGCTTTTGGGTTCCTGTTCATTAAATCCTTGCCTAAGCCCATGTCTAGAAGGGTTTTTTCCAATGTTATCTTCTAGAATTTTTATAGTTTCAGGTCTTAGGTTTAAATCCTTAATCCATCTGGAGCTGATTTTTGTATAAGGTGAGAGATGAGAATCCTACATGTGGCTAGTCAATTGTCCCAGCACCATTTGTTGAAAAGGGTGTCCTTTCCCCCACTTTATGTTTTTCTTTGCTTTGTCAAAGATCATTTGGCTGGAAGTATTTGGGTTTATTTCTGGGTTCTCTATTCTGTCCCATTACCTATGTGCCTATTTTTGTAGCTGTACCATGCTGTTTTGGTGACTATGGCCTCATAGTACAGTTTGAAATCAGGTAGTGTGATGCCTCCACATTTGTTTTGTTTTTTGTTTTGTTTTTTTGCTTACTCTTGCTTTGGCTATGCGGGCTCTTTTTTGGTTCCAAATGAATTTTAGAATTATTTTTTCTAGGCTGGGTGTGGTGGCTCATGCCTGTATAATCCCTGCACTTTGGGAGGCCGAGGCAGACGGATCACAAGGTCAGGAGATCGAGACCATCCTGGCTAACACAGTGAAACCCCGTCTCTACCAAAAATACAAAAAACTAGCCAGGTGTGGTTGCAGGCGCTTGTAGTCCCAGCTACTCGGGAGGCTGAGGCAGGAGAATGGCATGAACCCAGGAGGCGGAGCTTGCAGTGAGCTGAGATCACGCCACTGCACTCCAGCCTGGATGACAGAGCAAGACTCCATCTCAAAAAGAAAAGAACTGTTTTTTCTAATTCTGTGAAGAATGATGGTGGTATTTCAATGGTGAATTTGTAGATTGCTTTTGGCAGTATGGTCATTTTCACAATATTGAGTCTACCCATCCATGAGCATGGGATTTATTTCCATTTGTTCGTGTTGCCTATGATTTGTTTCAACAGTGTTTTGTAGTTTTCCTTGTAGAAGTCCTTGACTCCTTGGTTACGTATATTCTTTTTTTTTTCCAGCTATTATAAAAGGGGTTGAGTTCTTGATTTTATTATCTGCTTGGTTGCTGCTGGTGTATAGAAAAGCTACTGATTTGTGTATATTAAGTTTGTATCCAGAAACCTTGCTGAATTTTTTTAATGTTGTGGGAAGTCAGGGACCCCAAATGGAGGGACCGGCTGGAACCGTGGCAGAGGAACATAAATTGTGAATATTTCATGTTAATATGGACATTTATCAGTTCCCAAATAATACTTTTATAATTCCTTATGCCTGTCTTTATTTTAATCTCTTAATCCTGTTATCTTCGTAAGCTGAGGATGTACATCACCTCAGGACCACTGTGATAATTGTGTTAACTGTACAAATAGATTGTAAAACGTGTGTTTGAACAATATGAAATCAGTGCACCTTGAAAAAGAACAGAATAACGGCGATTTTTATGGAACAAGGGAAGACAACCATAAGGTCTAACTGCCCATGGGGTCGGGCAAAAACAGCCATATTTTTCTTCTTGCAGAGAACCTATAAACGGATGTGGAAGTAGGAAAGATATCGCTAAATTATTTTCCTAGCAAGCAATATTAATATTAATACCCTGGAAAACGAATGCGCTCCAAGGGGGAGGTCTATAAATGGCTGCTCTGGGAATGTCTGTCTTACGCGCTTGAGATAAGGACTGAGATATGCCCTGGTCTCCTGCAGAACCCTCAGGCTTACTAGGGTGGGGAAAAACTCCACCCTGGTAAATTTGTGGTCAGACCGGTTCTCTGCTCTCGAACCCTGTTTTCTGTTGTTTAAGATGTTTATCAAGACAATACATGCACCACTGAACATAGACCCTTATCAGTAGTTCTGCTTTTCCCCTTTGTCCTGTTCCCTCAGAAGCATGTGATCTTTGTTAGACCCTTATTAGTAGTTCTGCTTTTTGCCCTTGAAGCATGTGATCTTTGTACCTACTCCCTGTTCTTATACTCCCTCCCCTTTTGAAACCCTTAATAAAAACTTGCTGATCTGAGACTCAGGCGGGCATCATGGTCTTACCGATAAGTGATGTCACCCCCGGCGGCCCAGCTGTAAAATTCTTCTCTTTGTACTCTCTTTACTTCTCAGCCGGCCAACACTTATGTAAAATAGAAAGAATCTACCTTGAAATATTGGGGCGGGCGGGTTCCCCCAATACTTTATCTGTTCTAGGAGCTTTCTGGAGGAATCCTTAGGGTTTTCAAGGTAAACAATCATATCAGCAATCAGTAACAGTCTGATTTCCTCTTTACTGATTTGAATGCTCTTTATTTCTTTTTTTTTTGAGATGGAGCCTTGCTCTGTTGCCCAGGCTGCAGTGCAGTGGTGCGATCTCAGCTCACTGCAAGCTCTGCCTCCTGGGTTCCAGCCATTCTCCTGCCTCAGCCTCCCGAGTAGCTGGGACTACAGGTGCCCGTCACCACACCCGGCTAGTTTTTTGTATTTTTAGTAGAGACGGGTTTTCACCATGTTAGCCAGGATGGTCTTGATCTCCTGACCTCATGATCCACTGGCCTTGGCCTCCCAAAATGCTGGGATTACAGGCATGAGCCACCATGCTCAGCCTGGATGCCCTTTACTTCTTTCTCTTGTCTCATTACTCTGGATAGGACTTCCAGTGCTATGTTGAAGAGAAGTGGTCAGAGTGGGCATCCTTGTCTTGTTCTAGTTCTCAGAGGGAATGCTTTCAACTTTTCCCCATTCAGCATCACATTGATGTGGGTTTGTCATAGATGGCTTTTATTATATTAAGGTATGCCCCTTGTATGAAGATTTTGCTGAGAGTTTTAATCATAAAGGGATGCTGGATTTTGCCTAATGCTTTTTCTCCTCCATCTACTGAAATGATCATGTGATTTTTGCTTTTAATTCTGTTTATGTGTTGTATCACATTTACTGACTTGCATATGTTAAACCATCCCTGTGTCCCTGGTATGAAACCCACTTGATCATGGTGGTTTATCTTTTTGATATGTTGTTGGATTCAGTTAGCTAGTATTTTGTCAAGGATTTTAGTGTCTATGTTTGTCAAGGATATAGGTCTGTAGTTTTCTTTTTTGGTTATGTCCTTTCCTGGATTTGGTATTAGGGTGATGCTGGCTTCATAGAATGAGTTGGGAAGGGTTCCTTCCTTCTCTATCTTGTGGAATTCTGTCAA